TGGCCCCGAACACCTGGTCACGCCACGGCTTTTCCCAATCTAATTCTGGTCCAAAACGAGCCTCGCCTGGTTCCACTTTCGGTGCCAAACGCTGCTTCTGGATCCTTATATAGAACAAAGATAGTGCTATTTTTCTCGCGCGTCTTGGCCCCGAACCCCTGCTCACGCAAACAGCTTTTTCTCATCTTCTAGATCCCCGAACACCTGACCCCGCCACAGCTTTTCGCAATCTAATTCTGGTCCACAACGAGCCTCCCTGGTCGCACTTTCGGTGCCAAATGCTGCTTCTGGATCCTTATATGGAACAAAGATAGTACCTGGCCCTGCCACGAACACCTGGTCACGAGCCTCCCCTGGTCGCACTTTCGGTGCCCAACGCTGCTTCTGGATCCTTCTATAGAACAAAGCTAGTACTATTTTTCTCGCGCATCTTGGCCCCGAACCCCTGGTTCGTGCTGAGACGAAGGAGCGCAATAGGTTGCGGTTCCAGTGATGCGTGTGTTCGAGCAGCATGGAGCAGTGGAAGCGTCTGTTGCCTGCAGGTTCGTGCTGAGACGAAGAAGCGCAAGGCTCCCGCACCTGTAATCCCTCGCGCGCTCCCCCTCCTTCAGCCGGGGTCGGCGGATTTTTGCAGATGAGTCACTTGAATAATCACATGTTTTTGTATGGTTCTGTTTTTGTGCTGCTTTTGTTTTGCAGCAACCATCCCTGTGTGTGGCTCGCAAAAAACCTGCAGGCAACCCAGTGAGTGTTGCCTGGATCTCTTGAAGATGGCCACCACAATGCCTCTACGCAAGACTAATGTGGCTGCCAAGCATGCACCTGCATCGTCTTTGGCAATGACCTCAGCGCAAAGCACTACCAACCCTATGCTCCAGATGTGTGCTCAGCTTTTGAAGCAAATGTCCTCTCAGAAAGGCCAGGTGCCTTTGAACATACAATATACTCAGACAAGGGCTCCGGCGCAGCCAGCTCTCACAGATGCTACAGGTGATTCCCAATCGATGGTGGCAGCTCCAAAGACAGTCGAATCAAATTGTGCTCTCATGCCCTTTGCCAGCACTGAGACCGAGGCTCAGATTGGGGCTGAACAAAAGGCATCCACAGTGATCAGCAGTCCCCATGGTTTGTGGCAGCTGTCAAGGAACACATCTTGCCAGCATGTCGTTCGTCATCATTGTGTGAAGTTCAAGGGTGCATCTATTTGGACGAAGTGACGCCTGGCAACGTCATAGCTCCAGACAATCGCCGAAAGAGCTATCTAGTCTACTTTGCATGGCTGCCCCTTAGCCTCCTTAGGCGGGATCTACTCTGGCTACCTGTCAGTGTGGCCAGGCATGACTCCTTGCAGAAACTCTCTGGTGGCTTGCCGCGGTTCTTCAACCACTGCCTTCAGCGCCTGCAACCCACTGCCTTCAGCGCCTGCAACCCTTTCTGGTTGGATGCAGAGTCGGTGACACTCTGATCCGAACAGGAGAGCTCTTCTTCATTGCAGATGAGGCGGCCCTGAAACTTTGTTCAGGGGCCAAGGGCGCAAGCGGGCTCAAGCCATGCTTGAAATGCAGCGCTATCTCCAAGGACCGCAGAGGCTTGCAGGGATTCCCCTCCATCTGCGAGCCAGATCTTGCCCGCTTCGAGCTGCTTACAGAAGCGGAAATCTTGGCTACGCTTGATATCTTGCAGGAGCGCCGCCGTGAAGGCATGTCAAAATCCGCATGGGACAAGCTCCAGACTTTGGCTGGATGGAACTACTTTGAGCACTTTTGGCTCTTGGACCAAGTGCTCAGGACCAGATTGCCATGGAAGAACGTATGCTAAAACCCGATGCACATATATTGGAGCAATGGCGTTGTCGGCCAGGAATTGTCTCTTTTCTTCAGCGCCGCAACTGACAAGGCTGGTCTGCGTCGCGAGCACCTGGAGGACTTCCTCACTTCTGGTTGGAAACCTGCCAGTTGCATCGGCGGAGCCAGTACAACTGCAGCTCTCAAAAACTTGGTTTCGTCGAAGCTGCTGAAGACAGAGTGTGACTATAGAGGCGATGCGAACCAGTGCTTGGAACTTTGCAGCCTATTGGCTTTCTATGCTGAGCATGTCTTGTCGCCGGTTTGCCCGGCCATACATGCAGAGGTTACAAGCCTCCTTGCACTTACAGACTGTTGCAACCATATACTGAATGCAAAATATGGAACTGGTCATGTTCTTGGGTCAGAAAGCCTGCGCGCACTGACAAAACGTCATTTGTGTGCCTTCAGTGCAGCCTACAACGCTGACAGCATCAGGCCAAAACACCATTTTGCTTTACACCTTCCAGAAATCTTCAAAGAATGTGGTGGCGTCTTGGATGCTTGGGTCACAGAACGAAAGAACAAAGTGTGGAAGAGTTCCGTCGCGCCGCTGATTAAGCGGCTCCAAGGTTTCGAACAATCTTGTCTCCTTCGCTTCTTGGAGATAGATGTGGATAAGCTGTCTCAGCTAGGTGTTGGTTCCTCTCTAATTGGCGCGGCCACTGCGCCAATTGAGCTGGGGGGTGAATCCTTCTTTCTTGCACGTGGCACGCGCACTGACCGCGGCCAGATTGTTTCAGGCAACTTCTTGCTTTTCAGCGATGAGGTCGCTTGCAAGGTGATGTGTTGCTTGAAGAAAGATGCAGAGTTCCACCTCATGGTTCGCATGATGAACGCTCTCAAAATGGGGCCAGGTCTTCGCTGGAGCAATTGGCAAATGTCGCCCCGATATGCGCTGATGGCTGTGGGAAAGGTTTCGCAAACAATTCGAATTACTTGGGTGGATGAGTCCGACAAAGTCTGCCGTTTGAGGTGAAAAA